AAGAAGATTACTACTGAACCAAGACGTGGAATACATGGTGAAAGGTAGAACATATGCCTGTGTGAACTCACTTCACTTAAAATGGAGAAGCTCAAGCAGAAGTTTCACCCTTCTTATGCTCCACTCCCTCTCCTCCCAACGTACCACACAGTGAATAATTAGGGGAATTGACTCTATAGCAACAGAATTGGTTTTTTGGAACCTAAATGTGTCCTTCATGTTCTCTTCTAATTTACTGATCTTACTTAGATTCCAAATCTGAAGACCTTATACAACTTCCCAAAGTGTCTTTTGTTGATGAAATAACAATGACTAAAAATTAGGGGACTTGGTACAAAATTATTAGTTTCTAAGATTTTTTTATTTCTATGCAAAATTAATAAAAAGTGAAAAAAAATCCTTAACTAAAATAAAGACTGGAATAACCTCTACTACAAATATATATAAAATTATTAGTAACTGTTAGCTTAAAAAGTTATTTTCCAGTTCAAATATTACATGATTAAGGTGAAAATACTTTCTGGATAGATAATTTATAATAAGCACTTACCCTGAGGCTGACGGCTGGGATGGTATATCTGAAGGTCAAATGGCTGTGCACTGGTTTTCTGAATCACACTGACATTCTGCCCTGTCCACTTATTGGCTTTGGACAATGTGTTGGTCCTCCAGTCTGTCCAATAGACCTCGCTCCCGTACAGAGACACGGCAAAGGGATGAGAAAGGTATTCGTGACCTCGGATGATTTCTATCATTCCTGTTCCATCATAGAGGGCTGAATAAATAGCATCTGACCTACAGAAAGATAAACACATCAGCACTTTATTAAAATTCATTCAAATAGTCTCGTAATATAATCGCATTACTGAGAAAAATGATAAAGAATATATTTGATAAATATTGTTATGGGCCTGTATCTGATTTATGGAAAGCCAGGGAAAAAAAAAAAAGCCAGAAAATCATCACCTTCATAACAAAACAATTAAAACTAATCACCAATCCCAACATATGTGTACATGATCCATGCATGTTAGGAAAGTAGAAAGCGAGGAAGGTAAAATAAAATATGGAAAAGAGATCATATTTTAAACCTGGCATCTGTCCAAACTATCCTTTTTTCAAAGTGATCCACAGTTAGTCCATTAGGCCAAGCCCCAGTTTTCATGTCTTTGTAGATGATTTTTCTCCCAGCACCACTCATAGAGGCAGATTCGATGCGAGGAAAATTTGCATCCCAGTCTGTCCAGAAAAGAATTCTGAAGAAAAAGGAATAATACTATTGTTTTAGTCATTCATTTCAAAAAATATTTATTGAGTGCATAGAATATATTAGACACTGGCTAGGTAAACAGTTGTGAGAGAAACAGATATATTTACCTTTGTGAGACTTACAGTCCAGCAGGGGAGACAGACTAAATAAACATATGAATATATGTTTACAGTTCGCAAAATAATTTGAAGAAAAAATTTGCTGTGATAGAGAATAGCAGGTGACTGGCCTACTTAGAGAAAGCAATCAGGAAAAAACACTCTAAGGAGGTGATATTTAAACTGAAACTGAAGGATGAGGACGGCAGTGTGAAGAGCAGGACAAGCAGGAAAAGCAGCAGACACAAAGGCCTTAATAGGGGAAAGAATGTGGGCTATGTGAGGAACGGAAATGAGGCAAATGTATCAGAAGTATAGTGAGTGACGGGGAATAGATAAGAAGATGAAGCTGAAGAGGGTGATCTTATGGGCCTCGTACGGCAAGGCAATTATTTTGGATTTTATGTCAGAGTGATATATAAATCACTCTGACAGTTAATGCAAAGAAGAAACTATGGCAAAGTCAGAGTATAAGCACGATAGGTATTATTTTAAAGGAGCAGCCAAAAGATTGTAGTGGTCTATACTAAGACGGAGACAGTGGAGAACGAGAGATTGTATATTTTGGAAGTAGAATTCCCAGGACTTGCTGATGGGTAGGATGTGAGGGATGAGGTAGAAAGAAGAATCATGGGTGACTGTCAGTTTCTTATCCGAAGGTAGAGAGGTTGTACAGGGACTCCATTAATTGGAATGAGAAGAATTGGGGAAGGAATAGATTTTAAGTGTTGGACATTTAGGGAGGGTGGGTATGGATAGGAATCAAAAGTGTAATTATAACATTTTTGAATTTTAGTTTTCAAAATATCAAAAAGGAGATGTCCAGGAAGCTGTTTCGTGTGCCAAGGTGAAGCTCAGAGAAGAGGTCAGGGCTGGAGGCAAGAATTTAGAAGTCATTAGCATGGAGATGGTATTGAGAATCACAAAAATGAAATACATCAGGACAGAGGGTCTAGAGGGAAAAATAGCAGAGAACCATATACTTTAACACATACAACAATACAACTGTTAAAATAAAATTGTTTTTATATTAAAAGGTCCTTGCTTCTTTATTTTGCCAAATACTACTTGTACTGTATGTATTAACAGTACACAAACAGTTTTGCACAAGAGTCATTACGTACTTTGTATCATACATTTGATTTCTAAGAATGTTACATAATAGATGGTTGTGTTTAATTGACTGTGGTCTAAAGCTGCTGATGTATATTTCTATAGTTATTATATAATGTAGTTATAAACAATTCCGCCATCACTACAACTAGCTAACATTTTTTGAGTGCTTACATACTGTCTTAAGAGCTTTACATAAATTACCACATTTAATTTGCTATGAGGTCATTGCTATAGTTATCTACATTTTACATTTAAAATTTTCTTTTACATTTTATTTACATTTTAAGCATAGAGAACATAATTTACTTGACCAGGGTTACATAGCTAGCAAGTGGCAGAGCAGAAATGGAAGCTCAGCAGCCTGACTCCTGTTTTTATGCTCTTAACATCTAAGTCTTTACTGTTGTGTCACTAAATAAAATAACAAAGAGAAAGCAGCTGGCACAGGAGCAGGAGAATGTTCGGGAATTAAGAAACAGGGGCTGTCCTCTTTACTTTGGTATAGGACCTAATGGAAGGTACGGAGAATTGAGAAGAGAGAATTCAAATGACTAGAAAGTGTCAGAGTTCCTCCCTGTTAACACTTCTGGCAACATTTTGGTGAGAAACACTAAAGTGACTGATAAAAAATAAATTTGTTCTTCATTATAATTACATGTAGCTTTGCCAATTTTTGATTCTTCCATTATTTTGCATGATTTTTGAGTATAGGATTTAAAGAATTACCTCAGAAGATTAAAGAACCCTCTGGAACACAATTCAATTTGAACTATCTTTTTTTTTTTTTGAAATCTATTATGGCTTAGCACAATGCAAGGAAATACGGACTGATGTAAACTAAGCATTCATCATGACTTTAATTTTTAAGAAGTGTAGAAAAAACAAACCCGTTGCCTTCGAGACATTTCCCACTCATAGTGACCCTACAGGACAGAGTAGAACTGCCCCACAGGGTTTCCAAGGAGTGGCTGATAGGTTCAAACTGCTGACCTTTTTTTGTTTAGCAGGCAAACGCTTAACCACTGGACCACCAGGGGTCCAAGAAGTATATAGTCTCATAGAAAATAAGAACTGTGAACAAAAAATGATTAAAGGACAATTCAAAACATTACACAACAAATTTAATAAACATATGTGCTAAAAGAATATGGTGGTCAGGGAAGGAAGATAGTGACTTTCCTGATCAGAGAAGAACTTCACGTACAACTTACACCATTAGAATTCAATAAATGTTATTAAATAACTGTGCCAACATTGAATAGTGGTAATGTATATGTTTTAATATTAGACAAACTGGGAATCAAGGCTGAGATCTGTCACTCCAGCACACTTAATCTCAGACTCCATTTTCTCATCTGAAAATGAAAAAACATAACAGTACACACTTGGGAGCAGCATTCAGTGAGATAACACATATAAAAGATTTAGCACACAGAATGACTTTTATCACAGAGAAAACAGTTGTGTTTGTGTGTGCATGCACACACATATTTATAGAGAATAAATACTTTAAAAGGCAAAATTTTAAAATCTTCTCAAATTATTAAAGATATGGAAATAGAGGGAGAGAGGGAGGGGAAGGGAGAGGGAGAGAATAACTATTAATGCTAACATTTAAATGCTACAACAACATGTATGTGAAGGTAAATTAATTTGATAAAGTAATCATGATTCAAAACCATGAAAAAATGATTCAAAGCAATAGATCATAGGATTGGGCTTAGCCCGCAGAATGTCTCTCTAATAATGGATTTATAATTTAAAAAAAAGAGTTTTAGTTTCATGGGCAGCTTTAGGAAATTCCCCAGCCCTGGTGCTGGGAACATGTCCACAAAGGCAATATTTCTTGTTTGATTAGCCAATACTTGAATAAATTAAGTAAATTATTGGGAAAGTTTAAAAATAACATTACTACATCACAGGATATTTATAAAGCTTTTATTGTTGAGAATCATCTTCTGAAGAGACTAATGTTTAAAGATAACATTGCTTTGTATGGAAAATTATTAATTACCTAGAAATATTGGCCTGAAATAACTTACAAGCAAAAAAAAAATACGCTGCCAGTTGATAGAAAATAGAACACAGTTTAATTAACTAATATAAAGCTGGTAGTCTATTCAGTTAAGTACTTAAATGTCTTTCTTGAAAACAATGAATGTGAAATGAATTATGTCTTTCAAAATTTAATTTTGGATGTACGAAGCTCTTCATTTACACCGGTTTGTTATTTCTCAGCTTTCTATTATACTTAGCATTATTTAAAATGGAAATGAGATCAACATAGCATCAGTCAAATTTATGGCGATATCTCAACAAACAAGGTGAAGTAGAGGGATTTGCAAGTTTAAAATAGATTAGGAAAAATAATCCTTGAAAATAAATTTAGTGAATTTGGAAGTCATGTGTAGTATGTACTTGTGGATGAACCACCACTTGATCTAGATAAGATGGCTGGGTGGCACAAACAGTTAAGCGCTTACTACTAGATGAAAGTTTGGTGGTTTGAACCAACTCAGAGATGCCTAAGAGGACAGAACAGGCGATCTGCTTTCAAAAAAGTCACAGCCTTGAAAATCCTATGGAGCAGTTCTGCACTGCCCACATCGGGTTGCTGTGAATTGGAATAGACTCTAAGGCAACGAACAACAGATCTAGATAAGTTTGAACTTCACTTTCTGCATTGATTGCACAAAGACCGCCACAACAATGTCTTTCACCTGTATATCAAACCGGAAATTGGTGTCTCTCTTGCAATTTTTTACCTAGCTATGCCTCATATATATATATGGTCGCTATGAGTCAGAATTAAGTCAGTGGCAATGGGTTTGTTTTTGTTTTTTTGGTTATGCCTTATATGATTGCAGCAAGTCCAACACAAGTATCAATAACTCTGCAATTGTGCATTCTCTATATGTGGGTGTATGAGAGACGCGTGCTGTGGACTCCCAAGCAGGTGCTTCCAGTGATGAAAATATGGGTTGGGACACTTTGCAACATTCTAAAACAATTGATCCCTTCATTTATTCACGAAAGTAGGAGCATTAGGACATTTTTTCTGCAGTGGCTACTGTGCTCATAATCTTTCATCAATTTAAGCAGAAAATTTCCAAAACTTTTTACAAAATACCATGTCCTAGAATTAGTTACCGTAGAAGTGTTCTTAACCTTGCCATAAGACAGCTTATAACCAATTTAGAAAGTTGATTTCAAGGATCATTGTTTCATAAAATTCTGGGCACTCCTTTGTTATATTTTACAATGTGGTAGCTTAACAGAATCATTTTTCCCTTATGACTTTCTTTTTATATGGTTAAAATGTATTAGCATTTCAATGGTTGCATTACTTCCTAAAATATACAAAGACTAAATATCCCTTCATAGAGGACATATGGCAATGTTCAGCCACAAACGCTTTTAAAAAAATACCACAGTCTACCGATTGTACTGTTCCTGCATTTGTGGGTTAGTCTGTATGAGGATTAAATCGAGTCAATGGACCATGAACTACTTGTACCACTACAGGCACGAAAGGGCCACTATCATCTATCAGGGCAAGCTGCAGAAGGTGAAAATGAATTATCCTGGCAAAAAGAGTTTACTTATCTAAAATCTTTAGGTCTTCTAAAACCAACAATGTCTTTATGAGTTTTAAGAACATTCTAGATGAAATTAAAATTTTACTTAGATGTCCCATTAATCTTCACAATTGCTATATCTACTTTCAACAATTGCAATTGTTATAGCACAGTCCAGTTTATTATGAGAAATGAGAACTAAATACCAGTAACAGAGCAGGAAGGCACCATGCACAAGGATAAAGGTGATAAAAGTTTAAGAACTGAGTACCCTATAGATCCTGAACTCTCTGATGCTTGTTACTCCCTAACAATAAGTTTGATATTTAGAGAGGACTCATGTACTCTTTCAGGTCACCTTACTAATAAGTGCACTACCTTTAAACAGAATGTAAGAAAAATGGCTCCTCCCTAAGGCTCCCAATTTACCGTCTTAGAATAACCTGGAATAACTGAGGGAGGCTCAGTCAAAAACCCTGAACACTACAGGAACATGGCAAGACAGTAAATATGTTTTGTAATGTAAAATGAAGTCCAGGAGCTATGCTGGGGAAGAAAAGTAGTCAATGAAAAACTCTTCTTTTTTGTCACCTATATAAAAGGTCGCAAAGACCTTGATTGCTGTAAGAATTTCGCATAAAATAAACGTGTTATATGGGGCTAATGTTAAGCCCACTGTTTTCAGCCATGCTGAGGGAGCAAAGTGGCTGGTGGCAAACTTTTTTTTTTCATTTGCTACTGTAAGCAACATTTATACTATTATCCATTACCTGCCCCTTACTATATACCTTGCTTTTTAAGGCACATCGGTGTGTTCCCTTAAGCTGCGTGTAAACAAAAAGAAATATATTCATACGTATGCATTTATTTATTTAACAAGCATTTACCGAGCACAGTTACATATGCCAAGTTCTGTGAAGAAATTCATAGATTTAGAAGCAGCCACTCTTGCCATCAGTAAGCTTACGATTTAATAAGAAAGATTATAGTATTTACATAAACTGTATCTCTCAAAAATTACACAGTGAATTTCTCCTAAAGTAAAAATTTTCAAAATAAAATTTAAATGTCTGTGGAATTTCTACCTGTGTTGATTCACAAGCTTTCTTACCTATTTCCTGAATTATTTGGGAAATAGAGGAACATCTTATTTGTCTATTTTATCACATAGCACTAAGGCAGTAAGCTGAGTTTAAATCAAATTATTTTTTAACATTGCTTTTCTTACATTTTGCTTAGCTCTGCCATTTTGTGTGTGTGTATGCAAGTAACATTCTTACCGTGCCTATGTTTTCAGGCTACTTTGTGAAATGTCTATTTTTTCAAAATATCTTTGAACGTTCTACCAAAATATTGAATAAACCTGAAAATATTTGAATATTTTCATTATTTTTAAAAATTTAATAGCTACAACTGTACTTTAAGGTTTTCACACAAACTTCATAACATAATCATATCAATCCTGTATAAAATAATTTTGAGCGATAAAAATCCCATTAAATCGTAACACCCATTCCTGTCAATCCATCAATTCTTCCCTAGAGATGAATGAATTAATATTGTCATCTGGACTCTCATCACTTTATACCAGAAAAAACTACAACTAATATTTTCTCACTTTTTAAAATTTTTAAAAATATATTATCACTGCAATTATCTTAATTGTCTCACAATTTCATAGCGGCAATTTGTAATGGAAGATACCAGCTTTCCAAAGAATTACCAGGTTTTCCCTACTCATATGCCAACTTTTTGCACTAACACTCAACTCTCACAGGATATTTTACTTCTGGAGATCTCTTTATAGCACTAAGATACAGTGATAGTTTCACTTAAGAAAGTATTTGTAGGTTGTGTGACCTTTGTGATTCTGTTTTCTGTTTCTCCTCTCAGATTGGATACTCCCTAAATGAACTGAGATAAGTAAGTTTATCCTACAAGTAGTAGGTACAAACCTGTAGAAAATGAAACATCAAGTCACAGTTCTACTGTTTTGTTTGGTCAGAAGATTTCCAAAACTTACATCTACCTGTTTTGTTTTTTTATTTGTATCCTACTATCTCTTTTTGCCATTTGTAATTTGGGAAACATTCACATTTTTTCTCTCACATTGGTGTACGTGCTAAGACTACAGTTTTCTCCAAAAGATCACTTTGCCCTTATACAGAAAATTTCTTATGCAAGTAAGGTATTGGTACAACTTAGGATAGAGCTGATACACGAAACCTTCACATCAGTAACTCTTACACTATGGGTAAAGCTCTGTTTGTGCTGTGTTAGCACCTTTGTGGGAAGTGTAGGGGTAGGATCAGCATTCAGTTTGTACCTCAAGAATAGTCTGTTAAAAAATAAGACCGTTTCTCACTAAGTATAGTAGGTGTTTTCATGGTGAATTGCTGTGACACGAGGTAATGAATGAAACGGACAGAGTGTAGACTGTGTAAACAAGAACACATGTCTAGGCTAAAAGAAGCAGATACTACTGAGGTCATTGCTGCCAGATCTCCCATATTATTTCAAAAGAAGCCAGAGATTCACGGTTTTATGTAAAATTTCTCATTTTTTTATATTTTGGCAACTAATTCAAATAAATTTAAAACACTGTGGGAAGCCAAGCTAACACATCGATGGAGGTTTGCCAGTTTGGAACCCCTGCTCTGGACCAGCTGCTTTGCCCCTTTAATTTATGTATCTGAATTCAGGAAAAAGAAAACAAACAAAAAAATTTCCCCATCTATTGATTTCTGAGTCTTGGGCATAGACCAGAGCAAAAGCCAGAGAGTGTGGCCAGGAAGCTGACTTAAACACAAGGCTGCTTATTAAACACCCCTTGGCTCACTTCTCTCTTTCATTGGTGCTCTGTTTCTCCTACCTATGCTCCCTGGATTTCATAGTACTTAAAGCTTATATATAGAATATAGAATATATATACATATATATGCTACTACTGTCTAGACTTGGCAATGGTCTTTGGGTTTACAAAATAATTACCAAGAAAAAGAAATTAACAGGAATAACAAAGTATGGCATCGGTTACATGTTATCTCTCACATATTTATCATCTCCTCAAAACCTATGAGGAAGATATGATTATCCCTAATGTACAGAAGAGGAAACAAACGTAAGGTAAGCTAATACTCTCGATCAGGTCCTCCAGAGAATAAGTGACTAAACAGAAACTGGGACCCAGGACTTATGGCTCAAAACCCAATGTCTTTCTTCTGCTCCATCACAAAGGAACACAAACAGGAACAGTGGGGCAATGACCTCAACAGTTGACCTTGTTTTCCAGAGTCATGTCCTTGTCTTTCAAACTTCTAAGAGTCAACATCTCTCCAATGTACTCCTTCAAGCTTATTTCAATTTTCTTTTAAACTGACTCCAAGTACATTCAAAATAAATAAAGGGTGAGGTGGCTGACATCTGTGACTATTTGGAACAAAGACTGGCCCTGTGGTTTGCAACCATTAGAAACAATTACGGCATCTCCTTGGCAGGGCAGAGGAAAGTTCATTACATTACTTCTTCAAAACGAGTTGCAATAGCTTCCAATAGGGCCTAATGCCCATATTTAGAAAAAAGAAAGAAATTACCATCCTCTAAAAGTACTGATTGTAAGCAATCTTATAACCAATCTCACAGTAATAAACTTAAATTAGTTGATACTATTATATATGTATGTGTGTGTATAAAATATCAAATGCTTTGACTTCTAAATAATAGGAGATAATTGAATTCGATATAATAAATTCTGAAAAAGGCAAATTTTTTTACCCAAATCTTGGGTCCAAAGCAATAGCCCTGGGGTGTTCCATGGCTCCGGCTATTAGTGTAGTTCTCAGGGAACCATCTAGTTTGGCCACTTCGATTTGGTCCAGGTTGCTGTCTATCCAGTATATGTTGCCTGCTATCCAGTCGACTGTCAGACCTTCCGGGGTAGCCAGGCCATGCTCCACTACCACTTCAATTGCACTGACACCTACAAAGGAAGGGAAACCAACACTTAGACCCCTGTAAGGAATGGGTTAAGCACACACAGAAAGAACCACTTATTATCAGCAGCACAAATTATTTAAAAATGTCAGCTTTGAGATATACCATTCAAAAGTTGTTACCCGGCACAGTAACACAGAGGAAAGTAAGAAGATCCCAAATAGAAAATTACTGATCTTTTCCTCCAGAAATCTTCAATCTTTTAAGGACTTTCAGTGCCAACAAAACAGAATATTTAAACAACTGTGAGGTTAATAACAATGTTGAGGTTTCAAAAGGTTATTTCTTATTTTTGGCTTTTTAGACAGAACAAGGACTTTCGGAAACAGTAAGGATGTTCTCCTTGAAATTTAATTCAGATGCTGATCTTCAAGGGTAGAATAAATTGAAAATGACCACCTGGAGTAAAATGCATTGTACCTAATCAGCATCCACTTTTTTTCCAAGCATGACAGATAAAATAGATTTTACTGTACTTAGCCTTAACAAAGATAAGCCCAAATTACAGCTTATCCCTCTTGGCCTGTAAGACTTGAGGGGATTTAACAAGGATGCAAATAAGATAAGAAAGTATCAGTGGTCTGGAAAAAAATAAGCGATTTGATAATGTTCACCATCATTGAGATTTATCCACTTATTAATTTCTTTCAGAATTTTTTTAAAACTTCATTTTAATACAACTTTTCTAACAGCATAACTCATCATAGTTGATGGCATTGCTGATGGTTTTTGTTAGACATTTTAACAGTGTAATTTTAAACAAACCATCTGATTCCATTGGTCTGAATCCATCATTTTAAATCAGCATCTTGTAATATGAGACAGGACATAAATTCACAAATCATAATTACATTGTATGCTTAAAGGAGAATATTTTAAAAAATTGCAAATGTGATTTCCAGAGGAATTAAAAATTTGTGAAATTCCTTGCGCTTTTAATGTTATATAGATCCAATATTTCAAGAGAAATAACATATATATGTGTACGTATGTGTATACATATATATATCTCAAAGCCTTGCCATTTAAGAAAGATCTAGATTAGACAAAAGAGATAGGTCAAATTATGGAAAAATATTTAGCTCAAATATTAATATTTTATTATTCCACAATATCAATCTTGGGAATATTACTCCATATTATTATTCCATATTAATAATCTAGGGAATAATTTGCTCCATTATTTCTTTGAATTAGGTTGCAAGATGGTAACAAATTAAAAAAGAAACAAAGTTATTTTAACTCCCTGAAAATCAACTACTAGTGTGCGGAATGAAGTCTTTTTTCCTGTAAGTATATTTTTTCACCATATTCACACCAATTCCCAGACTGAAAATGGTGAGAATGTCACAGACCTTCACCATCCACCCCCCCCAACTGTATTCACACACACACTTGACTTCTCTGGTTTTTCATATATGAGGGAAGAGATAAAGAATCAAGGGCCAAATGCTAACCCAGATGAATTTTGATTACACTACATTTTCTGGAATTTTCAGTTAAAAATGAACCTAAACATTCAATCAAAATTGAAATAGATGTACCTCCACTTTCAGAAAGCTTGCCCCGGTATATTCTGTCTTCTACAACATCTGTCCAATAAAGTAAACTTTGATTGAAGTGAAAATCAAGTGCTATTGTGTTTCTCAATCCAGGAACAAGTAGACTATAGTCTCTTTTATGAAGATCAATCCTTCTGATCTCATGGCGAATAGAAAAGATGATGAATGCTTCGAAAGGATCTGAAATTAAATTTATTTTTAATATACTTATGAAAATACTTATATACTTTGGTAAGTGGAATAACTTGCTTACAGTAAAAATTGATTTATTTAAAGTACACCTACTCCTCACTTATCCACTATCTCATTATCTGACATTTCACATTTACAACAATAGTAAAAGAATCTACTATCCTACTATTTTGCACACTAACAACATACATCTGGCAGTAATGAATGCTGAGGTGCAAGGCGGGAGTAACACTGGTTGTGATGGTTAAGGTCGTATGTCAAGTTGGCTGGCCATGATTCTCAGTGTTTTGGCATTTACGTAATGATATAATTTGGCAGTTATGTAATGATGCTGTCATCTTTCATTTTGTGATCTGATGTGGTCATCCTCCATTTTCACATAATGCCAATTTTTGCATAACAACATGGTCTTTGGAACCTAACCATGTCAATAAGTGAGGAGTGGGTGTATTATTTTTTTATATTTCTGTCAGTAAAGGAGCAATTTATTTTTAATTCAAAATTTTAAAGACACTTGAAAACCTTAGGTTTGTGTGTATTTACTAAAAATAAGATACAAATGTGTTTTATCCCTTGGATTTGTATGCCCCTGATTCTGATTAAAGAATACAAGAATTGTTCTAATAGGATGGCAAAATATGAGTTTTTCCATTTTTTCAAAGTTTCAGCTAAAGACCTAAAGCTCAGAAAAATCACCAAACGAATCACTAAGAGTTGACCAAAGCTAGCTCTGCCAGTCTTGGCCCATCATACACCTATAGACACACTGTGGAGAAAGAGCTAACAGAAAAGGATTCTATGAAAGGAGTTGTTGCCTCACAGTTACAGAGTATACACCATGAGAGAGATGATGGCCATTTTTCCTACACTTCAAAAAAATCACAGCTATACCCCATTCCCCACTAGTTTTGAAGCCTGGATCAGATCTCAGTGGGGAGAAAGCAGAGAGGCTTTGAAAACATACCAGAGATTAAAAAAAAAAAAAAAATGCATATTTTAGTACCTGAAAGTTACTAAAAATTATGTTATCATTCAGAAAATGCTTCAAGCCCTCTACCCATTACTACAGGAAATACTAATATGAACTAGGCTTGAATTCTGCTTAATAAATAAGTATTTTGAGGGAGGGACCTCTGTTTACAAAAATGTCCCTTGTTTGCATGTTTGTGTCACTTTTTGTACTTCCTTTTGGAGAAATTAATTTTCTTACCCCCAGTCTAGACTCATCTAAATGTGGGCTGCCATAATCATTCCTGTCTACAGTGATTGGACTAAGGAGTGGATGTGAGACCTCAATCAGGCTAATGGGTTTGAAAACTTCCAGAGAAGTTTTCAAGCTGAGCAGAAGGAGTCTCTTTTCCTCTCTAGTCACAGGAGTCTAAGCCCAGTGATGCTAATAGTCATGTTCTTGTATTTTGAATAAGCCTGTCTGTCATATTGTAATAGAAGAGGACAAAGGCATAAAGAGGGAAGCAGCAATGCACTGGGATGAGACTGTGTCCAAAGGACTTTCAAATCTTTAGTTCCAAAGATCCCTAAAACCAGTTCCTCCCTGACAATCCCCGAGCTTTCAATATGTAAGCCAATATACTTAACACTACTTTCAAAAATAAAAACAAAAAACCAAACCCATTGCCACTGAGTTGACTCCAACTCATAGTGACCCCATAGGACATAGTGAACTGCCCTATAGGATTCAAACTGCTGATCTTTTAGTTAACAGCCAAGCTCTTAACCACTGTGCCACCAGGACTCCTAAGACTACTTACTCAACTTAATTTGAATTGAATTTCTGTTCATTGAAACCAGGTTTATTGTTCTTATTAAGATTACCTCCTCAGAGAAGTATTTCCTGATCAGATACCTAATTAAAAACCATCTCTATTATTCTGTATTACAATTACCTGTTTTTATTTTAAATATATTTTAAAATCAGTATTTACTTGTTTATCATCTATGTCCCTCACTGGACTGTAAACTTTATAAAAACAGAGATCTTTTTTGGCTTGTTCATTATTGTATCCCCAAAACCTAGCACCAGGGGAAAACCTTATATATACCTGGTCTTAAGTTCAGAAGAATGCCAGCCTAGGCTAGTTGGCCTTCGTGTGGGGCAGTCACTCAATATTTTTTTCTACTGGACGTGTACCCACTTTATGTAGCTCCACCCAGTACATGGAATAAATGTGTTTTGAGTCAATAAACATGGAGAAGAACTGAATCTATTCTAGGCTAGCTGATAGCCAATTGATGTAAAACCATGGAAGAAAGACCTGCCAAAACAAGCAGAGCCATGTTCTTGACTCCCAGTTGACAGCAGAGTATGAGTGAGGCCAATCAAGACCAGAACTGCTCAGAAGACATATAGACTACAGACAAAAATGATGAATATGCCTGTGGCCACTTAGGTACAGTGATTATTTATTGCACAGTATTGTGGTATTTATGGTACATTATTGTGACTGATGCAAAAATACCAAAAAAAAAAAAAAGCACAAAATATTAAGTTCCAAATGGCTGTCAATAGAACAAACACTAATTCAATGTAAAATCCAAAATTGAACATTTTTAGAGTAAAGAAAGTAGGTTAGATGAACAGTGTTTAAAAGAAAGGATACCTCATTTTGGATCAGAAGCCCTTGTTTTATTCTCTGCTCTGACTATGAAACAGCTGTTTGCCTTTGAAAAAGTTTTTATCTTTTCATGGATTAAGTGGCTTTACCTGTATAATGGGGTCTAAGACAACCCCTTTTCAAACTAACAAACAGTTTCAGAATCCAATTAAGTAATGTATGTAAACTTGTTTTATAAACTGAAGATCATAACAACAAATACAAATGGATAGGTAACTGTGATGTAGCCAAGAATTAATTGATCTGAGTCACAAAATGTGGGTTTAAGATTTGGCTCTGCTACCAGCTAGCTTTGCAAATTTGAGGATTTTACTTATCCTCTCTGATGGTCAATTTTGTTTTAGTTTTTTTCCATTTACAAAATACATACTCCATTGAGGTATCAGGAAAAGTGGTAATAGTTAAAAGTCTGAACACTTAGTAAAATCTTAAAAATTTTTTAATAATTATTATGAATATGAAATTCGGAGCCCACTCAAAGGACCAAGAAAAAACAAGATACTGCATAGCGAAGGGACCAGAATTATGATACACCAAAAGGAAGTTGGACATTTCTCATCATGTGCTGAAGCTAGTGACATTTCAGCTCCAAAGAACTTCCCCCATCCTTTGGTTTATAGTTTTCTCTTAGTCAAGTAGTAAATTATAGCTGTAAAGCTATCTGCTAGAGAAATTTATATTTAATACTTGTTAATGGACATATGCACCTTGGAAGACAGGCCTGGTGATCTGCTTCTGAAAGGTCACAACCTTGAAAACCCTACGGAGCAGTTCTACTCTACACACATGGGGTTGCCATGAGTCAAAATAGATTCAACAGCAACAAACAACAACAAAGGACATATAGCTTAAAATGGCAGAGTAATGATCGCTGCCTCTTTCTTAGGTAATCATCCCAGAAGAAGAAAGGGATAAGAAGAAACAAATGCAAACTCACCTTCACTAACATTGGAAGACATCTGTTACCAAAGCACCACAATATTAGAGGAAGTGTTGACGAATGCATTGAAAGTGCATAAAAGTTCTGACAGAATATTCTAGCAGGAGGAGAGGAAAAAACCTGCTGGCAGAGGACAGTTCTCAAAGGAGGTGTCATATCCTGAGGGCAAATGTCACAATCAGTTACCAAACAGCCTGGTTTTAGAACCTTCTCTGAGCCTATTGGCACCATCAAAACCCAGGGAGGAGGGTTTCAATGAAGAAAAAAACTAGCAGGCTTTACGTTTAGTAAAAGAAGCCAGACACCAGAATACACATTTTTCTTAAGTGCACTGGGAATATTATCCAAGATATACCACATAATAGTTCATAATCTAGCCTTGATAAATGTATAATTACTGAAATCCTAAAAAGTCATATTCTCTCAATATATGGGAATGAAATAAAAAATCAACAGCAGGTGGAATTTGGGAAATTTACAAATATGTGGAAATTTCACAATACACCATTGAACCATCAAAGAAGAAATCCCAAGGGAAATTAGAAAGTACTTTAAGATGAATGATGATAAAAACACAACACACTAAAACTTATGAAATGCAGTAAAAACAGTGCTTAGTCAGAAATTCTAGTTGTAAAGGCCTATGTTTAAAAAGAAGAAAGATCTCAAACCAATAACCTAAATTTCCACCTTAAGGAACTAGAAAAAAAGCACAAACTAAATGCAAAGGAGTTAGAAGAAGAGAAAAACAATACATAAAAACCAAAGAAACCAAAAGTTGGTTCTATGAAAGGATTGACAAAATTTTAGCCTCACTGACCAAAAAAAAAGAGAGAGAGATGAGAGAGAGTGAAGAACAAAGAGGAGAAGTAGAAGAAGAAGACAGAGGAGGAGGAGAAAGAGAAAGAGAAGAAGAAGAATTCAAACTAGTTAAATCAGGAGTGAAAGCGGGGACATCACTACTGACCTTATAGAACTAAAAACAAATCTAAGAGAATATTGTGAGCAATGGTATGGCAACAGATAAAAAAAAAAATCTAGATTAAATAGAAATATTCCTAGAAAAACAATAGTGACTCAATACTGACTGACAGTATTTCAATACAGATTCAAGAAGAAATAGAAAGTTTTAAATTATCTATAAGTAGTAGGTGGCCCTGATGCCACAGTGGTTAACTGTTCGGCTACTAACCAAAAGATGGGCAGTTCGTATCCACCAGCCACTCCTTAGAAACTCCATGGGGCCAGTTCTACTCTGTCCTATAGGGTGGCTATGAGTTGGAATCAACTCAATGGCAACGAGTTTTCTGTAAATAGTAGAGATTACATTAGTAATCGAAAACTTCCCTCTAAGAAGAGTTCAGGCACAGATGGACTCGATGGTGAATTTTGACAAATATTTAAAGAATAATTAT